GTGGATTTCCTGCATGTCAAAAAATTCCCTGCGCCAAAGTAGACTCATACATTACAATGATGTCCAAATGTATTATAACACTGGGACAGCTAAATATCCTTTCATCGGAGGAGACATTAACTGTGGCCTCATCTGCCTATTCAGGTAGACATTGAAGACTCAGTGGTATAACTCAAAAAGGGAAGAGAGTGTCTCCCAATGTCCTGGCCAACAATCCCTCACATAAAATTGGTCATTCATTTCATGGCTGTTTGTGGGGCTCTGATGCGTGCAAATTGGCTCAAGTATTCATGCACAAAACTGTCTCAACATTACAGTATATCCTGAAAAGCGCTTTAGGAATTCCTCCCAACATAAAAAGTGCAACACAAAATGCAATGATTATTATTATTGATATCAGTTTAAATCAGGGCTTCCAAACTGGGTCCTTTCAGCGAGATGGTTTCAAGGGAGCCGCGAAGCCAGTAGACACACCCGAAGTGCAAAGGCTACAGAAGCCGAATTGGACTAGGGAAGCCAATGCAGCCTGAGGAAGGGATGAGAACGTTCCCATGGTTCTCGTGCAAGGTATTTAAGCTCAGCCTTTTGTGGAGCTGGTAAAGGAGGAAAACCTCCTTGCTCTACAGGAAACCCCCACAACCTGAGTGAGTGCGCGTGCGCACATGGGGGGGTGGGAGGAGGCTCAATCGAAATATCTACTATCATAGAGGGTCCTGAGGCCTCAATATCCAATCTTTGAGCCCATAAAGTTTGAAAAACACTAGTTTTAGATTACTCAGTAGAGTAGTTTCTTCAGGATTTTCAGTGGTTTCCCAGCGCATTGGGTCGTCCTCCTGACACGAAAGGCAACCAGACCAATAACACTGCCACGTTACACTTTAATGGATGCTAATTTTCTTAGTATAGTTGAACTTCCCAAAATATTTTGCATCAGAAGGTGGACATTTTGTGCACCCCGGGTATTTTGTCAAGCCACTTTTGAATTGTCTGACTTTAAGTGGCCGAATCAAGCCGAGACTCTGATACTAAAGGCAATTTTAACTCACAGCACTTGACAAATGAGACTGTATTCATCAATGGGAGAATGCTTCAACATAATCAGCAACAGTGGAATAAACTAGCAATAATCAAGAAGGATGATATTTGCATCATACAGGAAGAACCAAATGACTTCTGCCAAATATCTTAAAGGAGTATCAATCTCATGATTCCCCTCACTGATTTAATGAGCTAACTCACTATGGCACGCGGAGTACAAAAAATGAATCCATGATTGCACAGCACCTTCTTTTGCACCGAACAATGTAAATGTATTTTATTCGTCTGAAAGAAAACAAGACAGGAGACATTTGAGTGTTTTGTTAAAAGTAAATTCCCTGCACATGAATGATTTAAAAAATGTTGAGCGAGTTCTAAGCTCAACTGTTCTCTGATGGAAGTAATCCTGCCACATGAAATAAATTTGAGTCATTTGAATCCAATTTGCAATAGGCATAAGACCACAGCATGAAGCGGTTTATAAATTGGCATTGTCGCTCAAAGCAGCTACAGAATGCATGTTGCAGAAAGTGAAAAACATCCGTGGAGTGATCGATGCTCTTCTGGCATAAGAGTAAGACAATGTAAGTGCTCCATTCTGAAATTGGGTTCCAGAAGCAGTAAAAATCCTGAATATTGCATCCACACCACTAATAACACTATGCTAAAATAAAACAGATCATTTTACATCTTACTATATACTTACATTTAGTTATTCAGTCCTCACATGTCAATAAATCCAGTGTTAAAACAGCTATGAAATGTAGCCATGCCTATATACAAAACATTTAATTACCTTTCATTCATTGAATGGTGTTGCAGCAGAATTTTAGAAGGTAGATTAATCAAAATAAAGCAAACTAGTTAGACTAAACTGATGAGGATTCCATTTCAAATCCAACACTCCAGCATTAGCATACTTTGCAAAAGATAATCTTAGACAGGATTGAAGACAATGATCACCAAAAATACTCATGTCAGTGAGTTCTACTTTTTTTTAATATAAATCAGATCGTCATTTGTATTTCTAAACAGAATATTTACACATTTCATTGGATTGAAGAGCATTACACATAACCTTACATGGTTCAGTACATTTGCAAAGATTTACAAATAAACTCCTGATAACTCGGCCCTGGCTTAACTTCTCACTACCACTGCCATCATCATGCTGTTAATATCCCAACCCCATTTATTTATGTATTTATACATATGCCAAACTCACCACTCCAGATAACTCATCATTGAGCTCTCTTCCCTTACACTGACAAGTTATCCATTGTTTAGTGTACAAAGAATGTAAACGTGGAAATAGGTCACTTGGTCCAACCAGTGTGTACCAGTGTTTTATACTCCTCAGGATTCTCCACCCATGCCTTACTGCTTCCCATAACAGTTCTATTCCACACCCCGATCTCAAGGTCTAGTTTCCTCCTGAATGCATTTATAAAATTTGATTCAACCAGCACTTCAGGCAGCGAGTTCCATAATCTCATTACCCTCTGTTTTAAATTCCCTAAATTCACTATATTATATTCTTTCTACCTGGAGGGATGCATCCTGCTTCCCAAATTCAGGAGAGTATTCAGCACAAGTTAATGCACAATTACATCCATCATGTCCAAAACAGATTCAATCTTGAAGTTCAATGTATGAAGAAGTCAACCAACAAAATGATGAATCAAAAAATCTCAAAATGTAAAAAAATGCTTGTTCAAGTTGTCCTTGACTGAGATCTAAACAGCATATTTGCAAGAAAATCTGCTGCCCTCTGCCGACATTGCACTCTACTTTTTGCTGTATGTTCAGTACGTTTCTAACCTCAGAAACCTGCACTTGCATTCTCCATGATTAGGTAAATAGGATTCTTCCCTCTGGGATAAGAATGCACACTCCATACCAGACAAATTAAATCCATACTTAAGTGGAACGCTCATTGATTTTGTTGGGACTCTAGAGTGTGTCAGATAACCAGCTGAAAAAGAAAAATGTAACTTGGTTAACTGTTGAGTAAAACAGTGTGACTGGAAAATTAATGCCTTGTCAATAATTCTCACCTACTTAACTTAAACCTGCTAAACTTACTCCGATGATTAAATATGGCGTAAGGTCATTAATTTAGGCATCAGCTTTTCTGGTTCCTCACAAGATGATTCACAGAGAGTTAAACATCCTGCCATTACAATATTCCAACATCCAAGATGTGCCATCTTGTCCACCATGACTCTGCCTCTTGGAACGAATTTCAATTTTGCTCTATTCATCCTGTTTAATACGTTGTCCTAAGAGTGACTATGTGTATAAACTTGTCGTATTCCTTGTGAAACACAGACATTACCTACATGAAGGGTACTATAAATGCAACTTGTTGTAGTTCACCAAATAATTCCTTCAAAAAAAATTTAGTCACTCAATCCACGACTGTTTGTGGGACATTGCTGTGCGCAATTGGCTGCCGTGTTTCAATCACAAAATTTACAGTCAATTCACTTTACAGTATATTTTGTGAAGTGCTTTGAGACGTCTCGAAGACATGATAAAGTGCTATAGCAAATGCAAGGATTATTATTATCTTGCCCCAAACAGAAGCAGGCAAGGGATCAAATTTTGAACTTTGAGTTAGTATATCTCACTTTCACATTATTTACAACATTTATTAATTGTAGATTTAGCTGAACAATAATATGAGGTATTTAGTAACTAGATTTTACTGACAGTAATTCAAGGTGCAGTAGATGTACAAAAACTACACATTTTGAACAGCACATCGGAATGCACAGAAAATTAATTTTGAAAACTGCAAGCCAGTCATACATATTTCACTGACAAGAATGCATGTATATTGAATTTAATGTGAAATAAAGGAGGATATAAATCATACATTCTCTCAAATCTTGCTTGCTGATTTTGCTTTGAAAACACTCAGCAGCTTCTATTGTGGCTGTATTTCATTATAATAAGTAAAAATGCTACATTTTTCAATATTGTTGATTTAAAATACTAACTAAGCTCATTAGTTTAAAAACAAACTACTAAATGTATATGTAGGTCCTTGAAATTCCATGCCATATCCACACTGTCGAGATACACCAAGTCCTTCCCCTTCAAGGCCATTCAACATGTCGTTGATGAATACATCGAATCGGGTGGATGACAATGGGCAGCCTTGCCTTTGCGCCCCTCCTTTCCAAAGAGCTGGGCTCAGTAAGTCCACTGACAACCTTTACACGGAACCTGGAGCTGGAATGCATGTTCATGATAAAATCCAAGATTTGGCCATGTATTCCCATGGCTTCATCATGAAAGCCTCATAAAGCTTTCAGCTGAAAGTCTTGCAGAAGTCGATAAACCTAAGTGGGTTTCCCCTAAGCCTTACAAAGTTCTGCGATCTCATACAATGCCACAACCTGTTCTACACACTCCTCACGAGAAACAGAAGCCAGCTTGCTCCTTCCTAATCAAACCGCGAGCCTCCAATGCGTGCAATACACCAACCTTTTTATTTATGTCTATGTTACAAGGGAATTACTTTAGATATCTGTAGAATGGAAGATTGTAATCCAATAAATTCTTCTATAAACTGCAGAGTAGTTGAAGGAATGTTGCCTTCACCTTGGCATTCTTAGTTAATGGCTTTTCACCATCAAAATTGAGTGCAACACTTTTGTGACCTGTTGACCTATTTTAAGAAGTTAGAAAGCAGATTTTGAACTCAATATCAGAAGGAGAGTGAATGAGTGCATTCAAGGTCTGCAAAAAAAAAAAGCAGCACAGAGATTTCTTATAAACTTGGGCTGGAATATGCCCTGGGATAATATTAAAAACATTAATATCAAATAAAGTTTTGAGCAAACATTCTTTATTTGCTGAGTTGGAGTTCACTGAAAGAGCCAATGTCCAAATTGTGTGGCGGTCAGGTAACAACCGCAAGCAATGGTTGTGAAAATGTTGATTTCACTTACTGTTTTAGAGGCTGCACTGACATACTGCATGACCATTTCTCTTTTAGTGTTGATATCTTTCTCTCGCAAAGGAGCCTTTCGGTCTTCATTTAAATTCATGTCCTCCTGTGGGGGGGAAAAATAGCTAAAATTAGACGGTTAATATTATTGCATTGTTACTTGACTTATTAAAACAACAATCCAGCAGTTACAAGATTATACACATCTCACCGACTTCTTTACCACCAAAATAAGTTAATTGTAAAACAACTATCAGCACGATATACACCTTTACTCATACGGCTGTTTTGCTGATGACTGACATTTAATCCAATAGTTGCGTTTCAATATACATGTCAAAATATTAAGATACAATTGAATGAAACGTCCCTTCTTAACATGCAGACTCCCAATGCACTCATGCCAGGATTTTGTTTTTGAGATCTTCCTTAGAAGACTGCAAAAAATTATTGGCTGGCAAATCTAAACAATTTGCTACCATAAATGAATAGAAAGGTAGATATCTTAAGTGTTAAAGGCTTGTACTGGATAACCAAGAAGTCTTATTTTTCAGCTACCCTATTATCTGAAAAAAACAGCATTTCTTGAAGACGTATTAAACATTGTAATGGTATCACAACTTTTGGTCACCTTCTTGGAGGGAATGGACAGATTGGTATGGAGTTAGATCACTGCAGCCGGTGGGTCAAAGACAAAAAAAATGCATCAGTAAACATAATTGAAGTTAAGAGCTGTCTCTGTTCTCCAAGTGCCATGATTGTGACCGTCTCCTGTGGTACAGGTATAATAATAATAATAATCCTTGCATTTGATATAGCGCTTCTCACGTCAGGAGGACTTCCCAAAGCGCTTCACAGAACACACTGTAAAGTGAATTGACTGTATATTTGTGGGCGAACGCAGCAGCCAATTGCGCACAGCAATGTCCCACAAACAGTCGTAGATTGAAAATGACCAATTTATTATTGTTTTGCTTTTGGAGGGATTATTATTAGGCGTGTGGAGTAAGGAAACTTGCCCAAGGTTTCGCCCTGCCTGGAATTGAACTCAGGTCTCTCGCTTGCAAAGCGAGTGCTCTAACCACTGAGCTACAGGACTCCACATATGCTGTGAGCGGATAGGAAGCAATCACAGCAACAAAGCCACACACTCACTCTGATAAAAGGAGCCCTACGCTTCTTTGCTCATTCCTGTAGCTTAGTGGTTTGTTTCTCTCCTGTACACCCTAAAATCCTCTCCGCATCACTCTCTCCTCCCACCCACAAACCTACCCGCATTTCCCTTCAAAATGTCCGTTCCCTCTCTAACAAAGCCCTCACCATCCATTACCTCATCCTGGATGAGCACCTCGACATTGTTGGGCTCACAGAAATCCCTAGTTGAAGCCTCCCCTCCAGGCTACCCCTTCCACCACATACACCCGTCCAAACCAACGTGGCGGCGGGGTGGCCATCATCTCCAAAGCCTCCCCTGGTCTTTCCCCCTAGTCCTCTGGCTGCTTCCCCTCCTTTGAGCACCTCACCCTCTTCCATCCCTCTCTCCCACTGAAAATCCTCCTGGACTACCGTCCCCCTAAGCCCCCCGGCTCCTTCCACACTAACATCTCTACTCTCCTCTCTTCCCTGTCCCTCTGCTCCGAACGCCTGCTCATAATGGGCGATTTCAATCTCCACCTAAACTCCCCTTGCACCACCTCTTCTGACTTCACCTTCCTCTCCTCCCTAAACCCTTAACATAAACTCACTGACCCACAACCGTGGTGATGCCCTCGACCTCATTATCACCCACGGCCTTGGCATTTCCGATCTTAGCATAGTGGACAAGGCCATCTCGGACCACTTCCTTATCTCCTTCTCCTCTCACATCCCTCTCTCCTCCGCCAAACCCTCAACAATTCTCTACTGCCCTTGGAAAAGGCTACCCCCTGAGACCCTCACAAAGGCCCTCACATTCTCAAATATCCTATCCCTCTGGCCTTTCACCTACAGAGATCCTGAAGCAGCTGCTCCATGATCGCCTCTCCTCCACCTTCAACTCCCTCATCCCCCTGAAATTCAGGACCATCGCCAAATCCACCCGATCCCCCGGGATCTAGCAATCATCTCCGCTGTCTAAAAACCCAAACCCGGCTGCTCAAGCACAGATGGCGGAAAACTGGCCTGACAGTTCACCTCCAACTGTGGTTCGAGCAACTCCACAGCTACCACCGTTCTTTGACACTCTCAAAAACGGCCTTCCACTCCAACATCATCTGGGAGGCTAAAAACAATCCCCAAATCCTTTTTTCCCCACCACCCACTACCTCCTCCGTGCGCCCCCTCAGGACTCCTCAATCTTCACATCCAATGCCAAGAGTGAGGAGGTCATGGAATTCTTTTCATCCAAAATTCACAACATCCGCCAGGCAGCCTCATCCTCCTGCGTCTTGTCACCCACCACCACCTCCTCTCCGTCCCCCTCACCCTCCCCATCATCAGCTCCTACCGCGACCCCTATCCTACATTCCTTCCTCCCCATCTCTCCTCGCTCCCTCTCACCTATCATCACCTCAATGAAACCAACCACCTGTTGCCTCAATCCCCTCCCCACCAATTTGCTGGTCACCCAGTTTCCCCTCCTCTGTCATCAACCAGACCCTCTCCTCTGGTTCAGTCTCTGCCCCCCTCAAAGCTGCTATCATCACCCCCCTCCTCAAAAAACCTTCCAGAGATCCCTCAAACCCCAGCCACTACCACTCTATTCAAATCTGTCCTTCCTCGCAAAAATCCTACAATGCGTTGTTGCCAATCAACTCCGCGCACACCTCTCCTCCCACTCCCTCTTCGAACCCCTCCAGTCCGGTTTCCGTCCTGCCCACAGCACAGAGACTGTGCTTGTGAAACTCAGAAATGACATCTGTGACCAGGGCTCCCTCTGCCTCCTTGTCGTCCTGGACTTCTCCACCGCTTTCGACACAGTCGATCACGCCATCCTCCTCCACCGCCTTTCCTCTGTCATCCACCTCAGTGGGACCGCACTTGCCTGGTTCAAGTCCTACCTCACAAACCGTCAGCAGTACATCTGCTCCAACGGCTTTTCCTCCCGCTCTCACCCTGCGGGGTACTCCAAGGATCCATCCTTGGCCCCCTCCTCTTTCTGATCTATATACTCCCTCTTGGGGATGTCATCCACAGACATGGGGTACATTTTCACTTGTATGCGATGACACCCAACTCTATTTTTCCACCTCACTTTGTGACCCCCAGGCCCCTGATGTTCTGTCAGCCTGCCTTTCAGACCTCAGGAGCTGGTTGAGCACGAATTTCCTTCAGCTGAACATTGACAAGACAGAAGCCATACTCTTCGGCTCTTATCAACATCTAAAATCATATGGTTCTCACCTCCTCCACCTACCCAACCTCCCCTAAAACTCTCCGAACCCATACACAACCTAGGCATCAGTTTTGACCCCCAATTATCCTTCCTCCCCCACATCCAGTCCCTCACCAGCACCGCTTTCTTCCACCCATCTCCGCCAATACCTCACTCCAAAAGCCGCTGAAACCCTGGTCCATGCCTTTACCATCTCTCAGTTGGACTACTCTAACGCCCTCCTCGCTGGTCTCCCCTCAACTACCATTCATAAAATCCAGGTCATACAAAATTCTGCCGCCCGTATTCTTACCCGCACCAAACTCCGCTCTCCGATTACCCCAGTCCTTGCCAGACTGCACTGGAAGCCTGTCCCAGAGAGGATCGCCTTCAAGATCCTCACCCTGGTCTTCAAATCCCTCCACTCCTCCGCACCCCCTACCTCTCTGACCGCCTCTCTCCTTACACCAGTGCCCTTTGCCTTCACTCCACCGGGACTGGCCTCCTCCTTGTCCCCCGAGTGCTCCTCTCCACCCTCAGCGGCTGTGACTTCAGCCACTATGCCCCGAGGCTCTGGAACTCCCTTCCTCACTCCCTTCGCCTCACCCCCTCTCTTCCCACTTTCAGGTCTCGGGTGAAGACCTTTCTTTTCGACCGTGCCTTCGGTCACCTTCCTCCCCCTCCCCTTAGCTTAGCCTCGGGATCCACTAATGTGAAACGCTCTGAAATGCCGTCCGGCGTGGAGGGCGCTATATAAATCCAAGTTGTTGTTTTTGTGAGCTCGTCTCGCAAACAAGAGGACCTGGGTTCAATTCCCAGGCGAGTGAAACCTTAGGTAAGTTTCCTTACTCCACATGCCTGCTTCCTAGCAGTAAGTAGGAACCCGTTTTTTTAGTCGATTGGCAGATTGCTTTCCAGGACTAATAATCCCTTTAGAAAAATAATAATGTGGTCACTCAATCCATAACTGTTAGTGGGACACTGCTGTGTGCAATTAGCTGCCGTGTTTTGCCCACAAAATGTACAATCACTCCACTTTATAGTATATTCTGTGAAGTGCTTCGAGACGTCTCAATGACATGATGAGGCACTATATCAAATGCAAGCATTATTATTATTTGTCCTGTGTGATCTTTTTAGTCAGGGCTAAAAAATAATGGTTCAGCACACAATAATAACTACCAATGTAAAGGAATTCACTGCCCAGAACAAATCAGATAGTTTAGATGCATTTAAGAAGCAGCTCAATATACACGATGGAGAAAGTAACAGATGGTATTAAGGGAGAAAGGAATGGGTGGAGACTTACATGGAATATAAACACTGGCACAGGCTGGTTGGGCCAAATGGCCCATTTCCGTGCTGTACATTCTATGAAAATTTGGTGTGCTTAAACCACATGCACATGTGCACTTAAAATATATAGTTTGTGTATTTCTGAAAACAATGCTAAAATGAAAGTCTGAACGTCCATCACCACAAACCTCACTCATTTTTCCATCTCCCAGCAGACTGAAGTCAAGATCCTCACCATCCCTACAAATCCATCCATATACTGGTTCCTGCTTATTTCTCGAATCTTCTCTTGCCCTACTCCTCCACTTGCCTCCCTCCGTTTTAATGTTTGCTGTTCGTCCACCCACTCCCTCCATACCATGTGGTGAACAGTGCCTTCTTCTTCCAAATTGGGATGAAACTGGAAACGGTTGGTGAGTGTTGAACTCACAGGGAATGGGTGGGATAGAGACACACAG